GTTCCAGTGGATTATAGTTGCGCAATACTAGATGATTATATTTGTGGTCATACCAAGTGTTAAGCGATATCCCAAGAAAACCACATGAATGTAATAATTTCTCTTTCTATCTGGAACTCGGTGCTTTTTTGACCGGCCTGGTACATTTGGACAATGAATGATCTTGATAAGAGACGGCTCACTCAAAAAGAGTGCAAAAAGTGCTGGCATCAGAATAATGTTTTCAGTCAATATCAGCATGTTATCGCGCAGTTGTGTTTATAATTAGAAAACCCAAATTCAGTGTGTTTCTACTGTACTATCTGAGCTTTCCTACGCAGTACGTGTCAAGATTCCGTTTCGGATACAGTAATGTCACAATAGCGCACCAAGCAGCGCGAAAACAGCAATGGCTGTTCTTGATCTCCCAATTACAACAGCATTCTTCGAAAAAATAAGATGTCAAAATGAGAGTTGTCACGTGCTACATCATTAATAATTGAACACAATATAGCGCAGTTTACATCATTAAATTAAACATAATTACTACAGAATGACTTTGTCGGTACTGGATCGTTACCCAGTACCGCGCCAGGGGCGTCGAGGGGTCGAACCGCTCGCGCGTGCCCGCGTCCTCCCCGTCCCGCTCTACCAAGCTACCCGGGCCCGGTGCCCGGTGCCGTTAGCTGGTGTCCCGCTTCACCCCCGTCTTCCCGATCGAAAAGGGTCTCGGTTGAACTGCGCATACACCCCTATCGCTGGGGGTGTTTATGCTACATGCACATCTGCAGAATTTCACCGTGAGTCATGCTCTGACGGCAAAGGTGCCCAAACCGCGCTACGGAGGCGCTTTCAAAGGCGCCATGGTCGACTGTCGACCATGGCGCCTTTGAAAGCGCCTCACTGGGTGTGCGCGCGGCAGCAGTGGAGGTCAGGCTGAATACTTGGCCTACTGCGAACACACAGGCCGTAACCCAAATATCGATCCAACTCGCGCTGCGCGATGCCACTTCGGAATCGGGTCGGAAAAATCGCAAGGTACCGCACAAATGGCATTTCATGTCAGTGATCTCTGGCTGTCATTCGACATTCACGTCGTTTCAGCAGACGTTCCTATCCTGCTTTAGATCGACGACATGGATCTTTTAGGCCTGTACCTCAACGACCTGGACGACAGGCTCATTCACCCAGCATCCGGCCAACACGCAGTAGTCGTCCGCTGACATGGGCACCCGTTTGTTCTCTGGGACCCACACGTGTCGTGTATGCTCACTGACGTCGAACTACGACATCTCCATCGACAATTCGGACACCCGTCCACCGACAAGCTGATGAAGCTCCTCGAGAAGTCTGATATCAATACCATCGACACCGACACCCACCGCGCACTTTCGGAGATCGAACGCTCATGCGGCCCCTGCCATACCTCTGCCCAGAAGCCCCGCCGGTTCAAATTCACCCTCAGGATGACAAAGATTTCAAACACACTGTGTACACCGATGTATTCTTCATTGACAAAGCCGATACTTCATGCCGTCGATGAAGCCACTCACTTCCAATCCGCCCGCTGGTTACCATCTATGTCTGCCGAGACGCTATAGAACGACCTTCGCATGTGCTGAATCGACGTGTATCTAGGCCCGCCTGATGTGATAGCACATGACGCTGGCAAGAACTTCATGGCCTCCGCCTTCCAGGCCAATGCCGACATGCTCCACATCCGGACAAAGTCCATCCCCGTCGAGTCCGCGAACTCAATGACAATAGTCGAGCGGTACCACTCGCCACTCCGGCGATCATTCAATATCATTCGCCAAGAGACTCCAGACCTAGACCAGCATGCAGCTCTGCAAATGGCCGTCAAAGCCGTCAACGACTCTGTCGGCACGAACGGCCTCGTGCCGACTCTGCTCGTCTTCGGCGCCCTGCCCCGTCTCGGTTTACCGACCGACAAGCCGACTCCGTCAACGTACCAACGCGCAATTGCACTGCGCAAAGCAACGACAGCCATGTCCCGACACTTTGCCTCCCGACCAGTCCGCGACGCGATGAGGGCAAGAAACGGGCCGGTAGTCACCGACATCCACAACACTCCCATCTGTGCACACGTACTTGTGTATCGCCCATACAAGGACAAATGGGAGGGTCCACACTCGCTACTGGACGTCAGCGGTGAGGAAGTCACGGTCCTGCTGCCGTCGGAGCCGACCAAGTTTCGCAGTACTGTTGTGAAACCATTTCCTACTGCACCGAACGCGCAGGAACAAAACCCAACACCGTCGGATAATCCAAGTATGGATACCTCAGCAAACAGTACAACTGTCCAGGATACTCACGTCCACACCGACCAAATAGAGATACCAGACGCCGCCCTTATATTCACGCACCATGCGCAGCAGCAATCTTCAGACAACACTCGCTTCGCATAGTCACGTACCATGGAATTCAACGGCCTCGTCGAACGATGCGTATTAAATCTCGTACCCGCCTCCGACACGGAGGGCCACCGCATCTACGGAGCACGCTTCTGCGACCATGCCAAGAACGAAGGCAAGCCAACCGCGTACGAAAAATCTCGTCTCGTCGTGCAAGCATACAACGACAAGAATCACGGCCTCCTGACCCACGCACCGACTGTGCAGCGCTCCTCAGAGGAGCGCTGCACAGTGGATGTTGAGAGTCTAAGCGCCTGCTGCTGGCACTCTGTTCCATGGACTCAGACCTGCAGTTCTTCACCCGAGATATCTCCCAGGCCTACGTACAATCAGAGACTCGAACCCAACGCGCGATCTTCGTGCGACCACCCTCAATCCTCAATCTCCCCCCTGGCACGCTCCTACGCGTCGATCGCCCGCTCTACGACATCCCGGAAGCCGGAATCCATTGGTTTCGCACCTATCACGCGCATCACCGCGATAAGCTGCACCTCACCCCGTCACTTCATGACCCATGCTTCCTGTATACCCCATGTGGTATTTCTGGCGATCACCAGTCCGCCAAAGTAGCCCGAGGGTTTACCTGCCTACAAACCGACGACACAGCAACCGCCGGAAACCCCGCCTACGTCAAGCTCGAAGCCTCCTCATCTACACGTTTTGATGGCAAGAAACCGCAAATGTTGAGAGAAGGCGGCACAGTTTCCTTCAACGGCGACGAAATAAGCTTGCGCGACGGCATCTACACGCTTGCGCAACCATACCACCTACAAAAGCTGGAAAGTATCACAGAAGATACTGTGGACATGTCCGAATTCGTCGCCCAACGCGCCCGCGGCGCTTACGTCGCAGCAGTGTGCCGCCCCGACCTAGCCTTCGCATTCGCGTACTGTTCCCACCTCGTCAACCCTGATACGAACGCAGCCAAGTCGCTGAACAAGGCCATCCTTCGTGCAAAACAAGAAGTTCCGTTCGGCTTGACGTTCGTCAAGATTGACATTCCTTCGGCAAGATTGGCCGTCTTCGCAGACGCAAGCTGGAAATCCGGACCTGAAATCCTAACTGGGATACGTGATGGCGATGATGGACGACGAAGGAAACGCCAACGTCGTACACTACACCAGCGTGAAGTCCAAACGGGTTACCCGAAGCGTGCTCGCAGCAGAACTGTTCGCGGCCGTGCACGCCTTCGATTACGCGAGCACCTTGCGCACGGCGTTGAACAAGATGTTCGGTAGGACCATCCCTCTGGTCCTGTACACCGACTCCAAGTCGGTGTACGACAGCCTCGTCGGAATGAACGCCACTACGGAGAAACGGCTGCTGATCGACCTGTGCATGCGGCGTCAATCATACGAAATACGAGAGCTGAGCGAAGTACTGTGGATACCGTCTGCAGAAAACCCGGCTGACGCCATGACGAAGGAAAACGCGTCTGGCGCGCTGATGTCGCTCATGCGAACGTACCGCATTCGGCTCTCGCCCAAGTCTTGGGTGGAACGCCCGGTGTTCAAGCTCGCGTCCAGCAAGACCGACCCCACCGCAGACTCTGCCGATCACAGAGAGCCCTGAGTGTCGTCTCAACCACCGGTGTGCGACTGTCTGTTCAATCATTGCTGAGCGATACAGCGACAGCGCTGACAGTAGCGCGGTAGTCTGCCCTCCAGGGCCCGTCGGCGCCAAGTAGCGGTAGTATAAGGCAGCACCCCAAGCACCTGCTCTCGAGAGAAAAAGAGAATCTTTAAGCACAAAACAGATAGAGTAAAGAAACTTGTCAAAAAACGCATTGGTCCGGGGCGGAGCCCAATCCGGATACCGGTCATTCGACAGATAGGAATGAAAGGGGGTAATACGCCTATACCCTGTTTCATTCCTATCGGACTGGTCCAGATACATATTTCTGTATCCAGATACATATTGCATTATGTATCTGGATAATATGTACAGTATCTGGTTATGTAAAAAATTTACATATACACAGCACCGATAGATAGGGGTGCTCTAAAAAAAGCCACAACTCGGAGGCCAAGTCTCATTTCAGACAACCCTACGTCTCGGGGTGTCTATCCCTTCATAAGAAGTGATGTACAGCACGCCTTGTTGAAGGCATACCCTGCATCAGGTTTAGAGATGGCGTCGCACCTTGGGCTCTAATTCAAACAAGTGCGCATCAGCTGGTCGTCAGCTGTGAAGAAAAGGATATATGGCCATAGCTTGAGCTTGTCTCCGAAGAGCATGTATGCTGAACAATACAATTTCCTATGGAACGACCACTGCATACAACAATGGGGACAGTAAGCCTTGCGCATTGATCATGTCAGAGAGGGAAGCAAAAACTAAAATTACACAAACATCCCAAGCTGCCTACGGAGATGCCATCTCAGAACTGGATTAGGGCTTGTGGTTCATTTGAGGACTTCCATGAGTCACCGGCTAGCTTCATCATCCCTCTGTTGCATACCGTTTTGGCTGTCCCCAAGGGACCTGTCGAAGACATTGCGCAGGAGAGTCTACATTTACAACGACGAAATAATAGTACAGATATGTCAGGAAAACTTAAAACTGAAACTCTTTGCTTTATGTACATCACGAGTTGAAATGAAATTGATTGGCGTTCTCGACTTCAGGCTGTGAAAAGGGAAATTGCCGTTTTAAGGCAGAGCCTGCTGCTGGTGGCACATCCGCCATACCCGGTCCCACAGCTCTGGCGACGCTCAGATGTGTTGGTCGCTTTTGATGCGGGGATTCGACTTGCATAGCATCGGGCTTGCATGTGGGGTGCATATCGTCTTCTTCCGTTATCTTTTTTTCCTTCCCAGTGTCAACATCTCCAGCCACAAGCTTTCGTAACAGTGATTTCCAGGCATCCACACGACCAGGGCCAAACGCAGGAAAGTCCCGTATCTTGTGGCCATCGAACCATGCGGTTGCGAGTGGTATCTCATCCCCAACACCAGAACCTGTCGGCCATACTTTTGCCTTTAATGTATGGCCATTTGTCGGGGCATACACAATGACCGTGAAACATTGTCGATCGACGTCGAAAAATTCTTCCTGTCCAGCTCGCGCCTCCGTTTCAAGAGCATCCAGCAGGCGACCGCAAAGAAGAAGACTCAAAACGGAAAGAATCTCTGGTCCGACAGGACACACGTACGAACGAGGTATGTCGTCCAGCGCGTAAGGAGGCAGATTCGGGCTGTTAGGATTAGAGTTAGGGTTTGATGCCTGGTGTGACGACGGAGGGGGAACCGCCGCGACCATTCGTCCTCTCGCGCCGGGGTCATCGGGGGCCGGAATGACGACGCCAAATGCGGGGAGGATGCGAACGTGTGCGTTATGCGCGTCAATGCCGCTGTTATTCATCCTGGAAATGGGCTCCACTGTGATTAAGGCACGGTCCGGACCGTCTCCGTCCGGGCTTGCCGAAAAGACGCGAACGCGAGACTCCTCGACGCGTGAAGTGCCTCTGGTCCACTCCAATCGAACGCGAAGCATATTGACAGGTCGAGGATCTTTTCAGTTTCTTGCATGACGCCGCGAATGATGGCAGCGTCAATCACGCGTTCCATAATGGTGTGAGGGGGATAGGAAAATACGGTGATGGTTTGAGAAAGGCATGAGCGGATGGCGATGATTTGCAACAGGCTCGCTGTTTGCATATCTCCAAAATCATCGAGTACCGGGGAGTGGGGGTCTGTGTTGGTGTCTAGGGAGGGCGCTGTGCCGCCCAGGCGGGTCTTCTCGATTCGCAAAAAATCGCGAGGGCCACTTTGTAAGCACATAGTATTAGTTGTGCGCTCCGTGAGCAACGGTAGGGAGGGGGCCTCTTTCGCCATTTGGTCAAATGTCCTTCTTCGAAAAGCGGAAACTCTTGCGAGGCGTACGCGACGGATCACAGCTCGAATAGACTGATCATCCGCTGAGCGCTCATTCTCCTGGACGACAGGGGCAGGGGTGACGGGGCGCTCCTCGTCCAGACCACTGACGGCAAACTTGAGATAGGTCGCGGCAGGAAACTCAACACGAAGCACTGGAGCAACCTTGTCCTCTTCCACAGGAAGGGGGCCGGGCGGGTTTCGAAGTTGGGTTGAGGAGGGAGATTGGAGATCTGGTGGGCGCAGGACGGGAACGTAGTCTCCATCACCGACGTCGATTAGAGGGGTACTGTTAGAACGGCGTCTGACGCCATTGCAGAGTTTCCTTAGCGACAGAAAGGCTTCGCAAAACGCATTATCCTTTTCGATCCACTTCTCCAAGGCGTTAACCCTATCGAGCAGAAAGTCTGCACTTCGATTTGCAAGCCTCTTCTTGGCTTCCATCATACCGTGGCCCTCGCGTTCAGCGACAGTGGCTGCCTTGCGCGCGACCTTCGGCACGGTTCTCTTCAGTTCGAGCAGAGGCGTCTGCGCTCTAAGTGCTTCGATGGCAGCGAGAAACTGACGGAGCTCGTAGATGGAGCCGTCGACGGAAACAAAAGCTTTTTGGGCCCATTGCGCTTGTGTGTCGTGCGAGTCTGTGGCATTGGTCTCTGCGGATGCGGAAGCAGGGGCGCCCGAGGCGAGGGAGCGGTACACGAAAGCGGAGGCGGCGGCGGAGGTGCGGTCGAAGTGGCTGTCGGAGGCCGGGAGATATGTACCGTCGGAGAAGACCTGGTGGACGGGGGGTTTCCCGTCCGCTCCCGCTTCGACGGAGACTTGGAGTCCCAGGCGGCGCCGCTTTTGGGGGGTGGTGGGAGTGGGCGTGGTGGGGGCGGTAGGGGTAGTGGACATGGCGCAATGAAGCGGTGAAGGGTGAATGGCTAATGGTAAAGGGTAAAGGGTAAAGGGTGAAGGGCGAAGGGCGAAGGGCGAAGGGCGAAGGGCGAAGGGCGAAGGGCGAATGGTCAATGGTGAAGGGTGAAGGTGGGGGGGCCGAGTGGCATTGGAACAAAGAGGATTCAGAAGAGGAGGGAAGAGAAGAGGCTGAAAGGCGAAAGAGACAGAAAGTGGTATTTTGTGACGTGTGAGGGCGGAAGAGGAGACTTGAAAACGGCCGCGTTTTTTGATCCTACAGAAATTACTTTTCTGAAAATTAAGTTGCGCGTCGTCAGGCCGCTCCTCATCTTGGGATCAAATCTCCTCTCCCATGTGACATTTGTTTCTTCTTCCCCCTCCAACTCACAGTTATCTTCCTTGCGCTTTTCGGCTTCGTTTATTCCTGCCATCTGCAATTATGACTGCCTTCCTTCCGGCCCCTGCCCTCCTCTCACCCCCCCGTCGGTCACGTTACTTTTACACCCCATTATCTTGTGCAAAAACGGCTCCCCAGCCGTCCCAGTCTTCCCAAACTTCCCAGCCATCCCCCGTCGCCTCTCCCTCTCTCGCTGACACCCCCATCAACACCTTTTGCGGGTTCGCCGCCCTCGTCGGCCCTTCTAACTCTGGGAAATCTACGCTCCTCAACCGTCTTCTTGGCCAAAAGCTCGCCATTGTTACCCCAAAAGTGCAGACCACGCGCTGCCGCATCGCCGGCCTCGCTACGTCCGACGCTACCCAAGTCGTTTATCTTGACACCCCAGGAATTTTCCCAGCCTCTTCACGTTTGGCCCGCGCTATGGTCAAGTCCGCCTGGAAGTCCGCCGCCTCTGCAGACGCCATCGCCATCGTCTTGGACGTTGCAGTCATGTTTCATGAAGGCCGCCGCCAGGACATTCGCAAGCTCGTCGTGCCGAAGGATACAGAGACTGTTATGGCCCGCGTAGCGGAGAAGAGGATTAAGGGACATCAAGCAGAGATTAAGTTGTGTGCCAATAAGATTGACGCCGTGCCGGAGGAGGAACGCCCGTTCGTTGAGGAGAGAATGCACGCTGTCATGGAGAAGACGGGGTTGGAAGAGGCAGGTGCACAACTGCATATGATGTCGGCCCGATATGGCAACGGTGTGGATGAGTTTGCGACTTGGGTGAAGGAGAGAATGCCGATGGGACCGTGGTTGTATCCAGAGGATGACTTGACGGATATGCCATCGAGATTGCTTGCGGCAGAGGTGTCGAGGGAGAAGGCCTTTATGGTATTGAAACAAGAGCTGCCGTATGAGATTGCTATCGAGACGACCAGTTATAAAGACTTGGCGGATGGATCGATTCGCATTACGCAAGATGTGCTTGTTGCCAGGAAGAGCCAGAAGATGATTGTCACAGGCAGAGGGGGTGCGGTCATTAAGGAGATCAGTATGAGGGCGAGACACGAACTCGCAGAGGTGCTTGGGAGCACCGTCCATTTGATCTTGACAGTCAAAGTGAGGGGGAAATGGAAGGAGGACAGGAGGCAGTACGAACAATGGGGACTGGATTTCAATGCATGATGCGGTTGTGGAGAACGACATGTCCGATTACAGTCCTTCCTGAGACCGGGCAGATAGTAAGTAGGCTTGAGCATTTTTGTTTACATAGATGATACTTTTGGTGAGCGCGAAAGTTCTCTGCACCCGCAGTTTATTCTTTACTTTTATCGCGTGGGGTCGCCATCGTTTATGCGACGACCATGATCTCTTACTTCTCAGGCATTGGGATGCTAAATATGTTTCCTCTGTACCTGGAAACCCGACGCAAATTTGACATTTAATTTGCGAGCTCAGATGTGCTCCACCCCTTCAAGCAACCACGAACGCACGGAGAGACGCATAATAGGATAGGATTACTCACAGTCATGGCTTTCTGGAATATCCTTGAGAGTGAGCCGTGTCTTTCTGCGGCTTTTCTTACTGCCCCACAGTTCCCCCAATCTGCTTTCATTCCAGATGTGCCCCATCATTCGCTCTGCCCGGCGACTGCAACATCCAGCCGGAACAACGGTGCAACTTTCCTTTCTCCACGGATGAGATGGCTCTGCTGTGCCTCCTCTGCCAACAAACGCCGCGCCGTTCTAGGAATCGACGTAGGCACTTCAGCGACAAAAGCGGCGCTTTGCTTCATCGATCAGAACGGAAGGCTCGGCCCAATATCTCGCGTTGCTCATGAAACACTCTCCTACGGCAACCAGCAGGTCACACAGCGAGTGAGTGATTGGTTCGGAGCAGCCCTGCGGACGGGCAGGGAGGCGCTCGCCAACGCCCAGGAAGACGAACACATCGTCGCCATTTCTGTCACAGGTACGAGCGCGGCCAGATTTCTGTGCACATTGCTAGCAGGGCGCGAGCCTCTAACGGTACGCTTCCATGGTGATCTTGTGTGCTTACGGCTCCTCAGGACAGATGCAGGACTTGATCGCCGTAGGTCCTTCCCCTCCTGCTCTTCTTCGGACAGAAGCTGTTCTCTACTCTGACGCACGCGCACAGGCCGCGGCCGCCTCTCTTTCGGCACAGCTTGGCGAGCGGGTCGACGCAACGGGCATCCTCCCTAAGCTCACGCTGCTCCCCCCACCCACACAGCAAGCTATGGCCTCGTACAAACTGCTACTGGGCGCTGCGGACTATGTTGTGCATAAGTTTTGTAAGGAAAAACCGACGGTGACTGACGCGACGACCGTCTCCACGACAGGGCTGACGCGTGGGGCGCATCGCGAGTATGATAGCGAGATGCTGCGCCTGGCCGGTCTAGGGCACTTCGAGACGTTGCTACCGGACATATTGGCGCGGCCGCAAGTGGTGGGACGCGTGAGTAAGTTGGTAGCAGAGGAGTTGGGGAGAGGGGAGATGGAGGGGATTCCGGTGGTGCACGCGGGAGGCGACGCGTTTAGCGCGACGGTTGGGGCAGGGAGAGAGGGGCGTGGGGGGGGGTTGTATGTGTATTGTGGGAGCAGCGGGTGGGTGGGAGGGAGCGTGGAGCGGAAGGGGTTGAAGGAGGTCGAGGACGGGGTGTTCAGGCTTGGACACGCGGGTGATGAGAGGTTAGAGGTGAGGGTGGGGAGCGTGGGAGCAGCAGGGGTGAACGTGAGCTTTGCGGGGGCAACGCTGCTGGGGGGAGTAGACGCGGGGGAGGTATGCCGACTGGCGAGGGGGGCTGCAGTGGGGGCGGGGGGGCTGAGTTATGTCCCATACTTGGAGGGGAGAAGGTGTCCGAGGCCCAGCGTGGGGATGAGGGGGGGCTTGGTGGGGATGACGGGCGGGGTGGGACGGGAGGAAGTGGCGCGAGCAGTGGTGGAGGGAGTTGTGTTCGCGCTGGCGGAGGCGGGGGGCGGTGGTGCGGGAAGGGGCGTGCGCATGGTTGGGGGAGGTGTCGAGTGTGAGGTGCTTGTGAGGGGAATTGCAGCTTTGGTTGGTGGGGGGGAAGTGGAGGTCGGAAGCGAGGCGAAGGGTGTAGGGATTGTGGGAGCCGGGCGAACGGCAAAGGAGGTTGTCGATGGGGAGGCGGGAGAGGAGTGGTGGAGTACGGAGAAAGTCGTGCGGGTTGGCGAGGAAGAGATGGGAAGGTGGGTCGAGGCGTTTGCGCAGTGGAGGAGGTCTGTGCAGGTGATGGAGGGACTCCTGTGACAGGCCGGCACTAGCACTGCTGTCCGCAAAGCATGAATTCGAAGCGTGCTCGGTTGCATTCTAGCCATGCATTGATTTTTCTATTTCTTCGAAACCCTTTCATCTCCGACCCTGCTGCTCCGCTTCCACTTGAACATCTCCCTTCGACATGCTCCAACTACGAGTTTGCCTCGCCGCGACGGAGACTTCACTCCCCGTCGCTGTACCCGACGCCGCCACTGTCGCCGACTTACGCGCCGCTATTTTTGCCGCCGCGCCCGCGCGGCTAGACCCAGCGAAGCACCGTCTGCGTCTCATCGCCGCGGGGAAGCTGTTACATCCCGCGGCGACGCTGGCGAGTGCCTCCGTGCATGACGGCGACTTCATCCACTGCGCCGTGTCGGAACTGGACGCCGCGCACGCCCCCGACCCCAAGACTGACCATGCCGACGCCGCGTCGCAGCACGGACCGCGCCCGATTCTCGTCACCGAGGACGCCACAGGCGAGACTCGCATCCTGCTACCGGCCGCCACGCAGACTATTGCCACCCTGCGCGCTGCGGGGCTGTCGGACGAGCAAATCATCGCCGTGCGCTTTTCCTTCTTGCTTGACGAGGAGGAGGAGGCCGGCGGGGAGCCCCTGCGGCTCGACTTGGACGAGCTTGAGGCGAATGAGCGCCTCGCCCTTGCGGCGCAGAATCCGGGTGGGGTGCAGATGGAAATGCCGGAAGCGGAAGATGGCGCGTGGACAGACTATTTGTTCGGGTTCACGTTAGGGGCTCTGTTGGGACTAATCATGCTCATTTTGTCGCTCGATCGCAGCATTGCGCTGAGCAGGAGATGGAAGAGGGGGATTGCTATGGGGGCATTGTTGAACGTTGTGTTTGGAGTGGCGCTGCTGGTTAACGACGGTAGCCCACGGTGAGCGGGCGGGCGGTCGGGGAAGAGATTGCGCCGCACCTCGACACGTCACTGCGTTTCTTGCTTTTACCGTTTTTGCTAATCCTCTCCCATTTTCGTCCTTCCGTAGCTATTGGCTGCTACTCTCCACGTCGGTGAGTGAAACCTGGATTGGTGTTTTACGACGCAGAGTTCTACTGTATTATTCGCTAACTTGTCCGTCAAGAAAAGATAGAACAGGAGACGCTTTTGCTTCTTTCTGTTTCGAATACAGCATTATGCAAGTGATAAGCATCACTTCAACTGAAACTTACACAGGCAAACAGAAATCCACTCTTCAGCAGTCTTACCTTCTACCTGTCGAACGCTATTTTGATTTCACGCGTAGTGTTCGTTCGTGATAATAAATTAAACCTGGAATCCCGAAGTTTTAATTGCTGCGCCTGAATCCTGAAGACGACAGAGGCGCAACAAATACCAACGCATTGGCAAGACTGAGTTGCTAGCCGTACGAAGCCCTTTCTACTGCCTGACCCACAAGGCTCTCTCTTTGCATCCTATGCAACGACTTCCGCAGCAGCCATGTTTCTAGCAGCGTCACAAAACACACCGACAGCGTCCTCCGGCGTCTCCTTGATGACCCCGTGGCCCAAGTTCAAAATAAGCGGCCCATCGGCTTGCGAAACCGTGTCGCGCACGGCTTTTCGAATCGCGTCCTCGCTCCCCGTCGCCAAAATGCTAGGATCCACATTGCCCTGTAATACGACGTCCTTACCCAGTCTCCTCCGCGCGTCACTCATGCTCACCGACCAGTCAATACCGACAACATCTACGACATGCCCGAGTTGATCCTGGATCATCTCCAGCTTCCCGCCAGCACCGTTGGCAAAGAAAATGAGTGGGATCTTCGGACATTGCGCCTTGAAGGACTCTGCAGCCTTACGGGCAGCGGGGAGAGCGTAGGTGGAGTACTGATCAGGGCTGAGATGGTGTGCCCACGAGTCGAAAAACTGTATCACCTGGGCGCCTTGACGCACCTGGAAGACGGCATAATCGGCTACGACGGAGCCTAGCTTATCAAGGACGGTAGACAAGACTTGCTCTTCTTCTGTGGAAGAATACATGAGCCGCTTGGTGGCGACGATGTTCTTGGCAGCGGCTCCCTCGATGGCGTAGGCTGCCAACGTAAACGGGGCTCCAACAAATCCAACAAGGGCAGCTGGTTCTGACGCAAGCTCGTCCCGTAATCTTTTCAGAAGCTCGGCAACGAAAGGGAGGGAGGACGCGGGATCGAAAGAGGCGGAGGCGAAGCGACGCGCTTGGTCTATGGTGCGAATCGGGTCGGGGATTCGGGGACCTTTGCCGGACACAATGTCAAAATCGATGCCGAGAGCTGGAAGAGGGGTGAGGATGTCGGAAAACATGATTACGGCGTCGGTAGCGAACGCGCGATACGGCTGCATGGATAGCTCAAACGCAATGTCGGGGGTCTCAGAGCGATGGCGAAACGGGTGATGGTCGGAGAAGGCACGGAAATCAGCCATATAGCGGCCGGCCTGACGCATGAGCCACACTGGGGGACGGGGGACTGGTTCGCCACGAGCGGCGCGGACAAGAAGTGGCGTAGCACCATTGCTGGAAGACGCGGTTGTGCCAGCCGTAGCCACGGGACATTGCCGAGCGAGACGTCGATGCGTACATGCGGCGGAAGGGCGGGATTGGGAAAGCGGGAGAGCGGCAACAAAAGCAGGAAGCGGAGGCATGGTGAGGGGGAGGGAGAGGCTGCCGTGTGTTGGAGACGGGAATGGTGGGAGGGGTAGGTGCACGCGGGGAGATGAAGACGCGTGTCTGGGAGGTTCGAGCAAAGGAATCATGAAAATGGGAAAATTCTTTCATTTTGGTCGGCATTCAGCGCACTCTTCCAACGTCCAAAAAGAGGTTGCCCTCTTGCGTCACCGAAGTCCTTCTACCTTCGCGAGGCGCCAGCCGCGCCCCTGCCTTCGTATGGTTTTCCGTCTCCCCGGGCGCCCGCCCTCCTCGCAACGCGCAGCAGAGTCCCAACCCGTCATATCAGACACCACGCACTTGGTCTCCTCGTCTCGCCCGGCCCGTTCGGCCGACTTCGACCGCGCCCACCTCAGATGGTCACGCCTCGCCCAGCAACCCCGCGCAGGCCTCGGCCTCGCGCTTGCTGAAGGAAGTACAGCCGCCCCTCCGCATGGAAGCACCTCTTCCACAGGGATCTTCGCCGTCAAGCAAGATGACAAGGACTATGATCATCAGCAACATCATGATTGTAGTGCACAGGTTCCCCAGTGTTGGGTTCGCACGACGAGCACGTTTACAAACTCTGATAGTGCTGGCAGCATCCAAAGCGGAAATCCAAGCCCTCCTTTTCCTACCCTTCCCAGCGGCAAACCGGTTTCAACAGCATCCACACCACTCGGGGGCCCAGTTCCTTTCCAATCTCCGCCGAGTCCGGCGCAGAGCCGACCTTCCCTGAGTGATTATGGAAGCAGTCCGAACACCAGACTGAGCTCGCATCGCTGGGACTACACTGAGTTGACCGCTCTCAAGCAACGCTTCAACTTGCTCGATGCCGAGGGCAAGGGTTGGTTATCGCGCGCACAGTTTTTCGACCTTTTTTCGTCTATAGTCGATGATACTGTCGATGATAGTACCGACCATTCCTCGCTATTCAACTTTGCCTACTCTCTTTTCTACTCGTCTGGCGAGATGCTCAATCTTAAGGAGTTTGTTGCCGGCATGACTATTCTCAGCAAGGGGAGCGAGGAGGAGCGCTTGAGATATCTCTTCCTTATGTATGACGCTGACGGTTCAGGCTACCTAAATCGTGAGGAGATTAGACAAGTTTTTCGCATCATGAGCAGCTTTGCAAAGAGCCAAGATTTCAAGGCTTCCGACTCTATGGAGGGGAAATCCCTCGCCCGTCTACGACGTGGTAACAAAGAGATTGTTGAGGAAATGGCTAATAAAGCCCTTGCTCAACACGATCAAGACGGTGATGGCCAAATCGGGTTTACAGACTTTTCAAAGTGGTGCTCGCAAGATCCTGTTGTGAAGACATGGCTTGACATGCTTTGCCATGGAACAGCTCGTGGTGTTGCTCGATTACGGAACGAGCGTGAGCAGGCTCTTCTCGCTCAAGAACTAAGCCTTTTGGGATTTGCTGACAAGGCCTTTTGGAGAGACAGCTTCGCTCTCAACGCTTCTTCGCAAGCTAGTTCTTCAGTTCTACCTCCGACCATCTCCAGTGACCTCTTCAATATCCCGAGCAGCAGCGCGAAGTCGGACAATGAATCCGGAGAGATCGATTCCGTGCCGTCCAATAATCTCAATATCTCGCAGTCGTCCGAGGACAGTGACACGTCGTCTTCTTGCGACGGCTCATCTATACGAACACCAAGACACAGTCGCTCACTGACGCTCAACGCGATTGGAACTTTTGAAATTGACTTTCGTCATCTAGATTTTGAGAAGGAAATCGGCAGTGGCTCGTTTGCGACGGTTTGGAAATGCAGATGGCTAGATTCTCCAGTTGCTGTTAAGGTTTTCCGGTGGGGTCCAAAGCTGCTGTTGGATTCTTCGGGTAAGCCGGTAGATATGAAGGAAATCGCCGGTGATTCTAGTGTAGATAGGATGTCCCGTTATCAGGTAGATGGCGAGAGTTTTGAACCGGAGTTTGACAGTGTGATGGGCCATAGTCAATACCATGAAGGTGAAGATGATGCTATCGCTGAGATGGCAAACCACCGCGCACGTTTTCTACAAGAGGTATCTCTTTTGAAATCAATACGGCATCCAAACTTGTTGTTGTACATGGGTGCCTGTGTTGATCCACGGTATCCTCTCTGCATTGTAAGCGAGTTGATCGAAGGTGGGAGTCTGTTTGACTGTCTACATGGTCCTGAGAAGATTTCCTTGAATCTTAGACAAAAAGTGATGCTCATTCAGAACATTGCACGGGGTATGTTGTATCTTCATGGGAGAGTTCCAGTGGTACTGCATCGAGATTTGAAGTCTGCAAACATTTTGATATCAATGCAAAATGACGGCAACTACAAGGCAACGATTATCGACTTTGGGCTGTCCAAGTTAAACACTACGCAAGCTTCGCTAGTTCCGGGGCAGGAGCGCGGTATGACAGGATCACTGGTGACGATGGCGCCCGAGGTAATGAACGCACAAAAGTATCAGATGGGGTCGGACGTGTACAGTTTCGCTATTGTGAGCTGGGAAATTTGCTGCGGACGAATACCATTTGGGCGAATGCCACACGTGACGCAGTTGTTGATGAAGGTGGCTGTGCGCGGAGAACGACCACGGTTTCTGAAAGAGGACAACATTCCCAGTGCAGTGCAGGCACTGATACGAGAATGCTGGGACCAGGACGTTTCGAATCGACCCGATTTCCTGGCGATCGCCAATTCTCTAAATCTCATCAAGCGGGACCTCGGCATGAGCGACGGTGAGTAGGTGTGAACAAGTGTTAGGATTGGAAAATAGGCCTCCAGAATGATAGCTGCGTTAGATGGAACTGCGGTCGGGTTTGGTGATGTCCAGTAGCGAGATGGTACTGCTTGCTTAATTTGTATAGGTAGAAACGCAAGCACCATGGGAAGGTATGTATTGTATTGTTATGCAGTGTTAATGGTGAAGGGATCAGTGCAAATATGCAATGTTGACTTCGCATGTGATCCTTGTAATCATCGTCGAAATTGATTATGATCAGACAACGCGAAGAGTCGTTTAAGGAGAAACGGATGTCAGTATTTTTAGTTTCTTATCGTTTTTTATCTGCTGTGCTACACGTACGATACGGGTAGCGTGCGGTTTAGTGTGCCTCTCCAATCGAACAGCTGGAGGCAGCGAGATACGGAGGCTGATGAGCGGGCCGAGTAGCAGATTAGGTGCTCTTTAGATCGACTGGTGCTTGAGCATTCCACAAGCCACATAACACAGTAAATGGCAGGCAAATAAGTACAAGGCTTGATTGAGTCGTGTGGAGTATTTCGTAGAGCATAATTGCAAGATTCACGTGTAGCAACCCCTCGCCTTTTGCTACTCAGGCTGGCAGAAGTGCCACAAAAATAGAATGGGGCTCGCAGTTTCATAGACTCCACAGACCTCTTGGCATGAAGGTGTGACGAACATAAAGCGGCGTAGAACAGAAGCGAATTGCTAGGAGCATGAGCGTGGCATGCACTAGATGCACTGTAAACAACGAGCACTGTGAATAGTGCCCCTTCGCAGGATGTCGAATTGTAGCTACAGGGGGGTACCCGATTTAGTGCCTCTATATATAGTGTATGTCCCGGTTTAGTGCTACTCTAACGGCTCTACACCAAAAGGTATGATAAACAAGTGCCCTTGGTCACAAAATACAAGAACGTGTTCCCGAAGGACGCCATGGAATCTGTTTTAAAAGATATGTCGGGCCTATCTCTCCAGGCAAAAAATGCAAATGTGAGCAATGTTAATGACCAAAGGGATGCTGCTGATATTGCTACGTTAAATGAAAGTAATATTAATGGTTGGGTTATGGTAGAGGATTCAAGTGAAGTCAGAGAGGCCATGGAAACAGAAGCTCTAGAAGAGGTGGAGAGAATTATGGAGGAAATGGATGGGTCTAGATGTGTTTCATCTGGGCGAACTGAAGCAGAGCATACAGATACAGTGATGGAGGAGATTTCTAATGCTAGTCAGGCTCGTTCTCTCTCTTTGATCGAAGCAGCGAATGAGTTCTCAAAATTAGAGGCGGCAGCGGTAGCTCTCTCGCTACCTGATGCGTCTTCACATTTGCGCAAGGCTAGACGCATCATATTTGAGGCTCTCAAGCCACAGAAGAAGCAGAAACAGACGACCTTGACGGGTTTCCTTAGTTAAATACTATATTCAGTCTTCTTGTTAAGTTACCGTTCTTGTGCCAAACCCGATTTAGTGCCTATTTTATCACGCTACACGGGGTAGCACTAAATAGGGTACCCCCCTGTATCCTGTTCGCGTTGTGAAAGCGGCCGCTGCCATGAATTGAGAGGCATACTCAGCACTACATGTCGAGGCGCACGGAAAAAAACTGCAAGCGTTGCGTCGTGGGAAGATCTCTCCCCTGAGTAGCAAACAAGAGTGATTTGCGGACCTATTGTACTGTACTGCGCTTCATTTCTGGGAGGTGTGTTGATAAGATTACGATTGAGAAAACGGCACACTCGCGATGAAACCCACCTCACGGGATGTCCCAGCGGACACCAGACATACAACATACGGCAGCTGCTGACGGTGAGACCCGGCGTGTAACCTTAACCCCTGTCATAGATGTCTGCATGTGCTCCCATGCCATCAAGTCCTGCGACCGTGTAAAGTTAATTGCCGACACAGACAAGAAGGACCTCCCGCGCAATTTTGGCGCCAAAAAATTCAAATGCACTGCCAAGCGCCAAAAGCTTGGTCCTAACTCCCTCATTAACCTCCTCTCGCACCTGTCTACACCGGCGTCTATCCCCGCCACCGCCCCTCCCCCCTTCGTCGTCAAAACGAACCCGCAACTCATGACTACCCCCCTCGCCCGCTTGGGCACTTTCCTCTTCCCCTCGCAAGGCCGCCGCGTCTCCGCCCCTCCCCCGCAATCCCCGCACGAGCCGTCGAAGCGTCGCTCCGCCATCGCCACGTGCGACTCGCCCCCGCGATGCAGACGCCGCCTGTCCTTCGCCGACGTCGATGTCGTCATCGAGTACCCACCCTCCCCCGTTGATGTTACCCCCGCACTCAGGCAACGGGCAAACGCAATCGTCGAGGCCCCGCTGTGTGAGCGAACCCAGAAATGGCTCGAGATCGCTGCTATTGCGAAGCAACCGGCCACACATGATGGCCTACATGAGGCCGCATTAAGAAGAGCGTTTGAGACTGTCTTTCGGGAAAGCGGCTCCCCAGAGGAGATTCTAGCCGCTGTTAGTGCGTTGGACGCCGTAGCGGAGGCACCCGTGCCGCTAGCACCTGGCGATGCCAGTGTCGTGCAGAAAGTGCTACAAACTGCCACGGTTCATGTCCAGGACGCGCCTTTAGTGGAGGCCGTTGCCGCGACTGTGTTGCGAAACGACTGGGGTCGCGTCTTTGCCGCTGCCCTTAGCGACGTATCTTTACCATTAGTGCTCGCTCTGCTATCGAATCTGGAAGCGCCTGACATGAAGGCGCAGACATGGGAGGCTTCGTTGCAGTTATTGGCGGTGTGCTCGGAGGCATGTCAGCGAGCGTCCCAGCAGGACGACAGTGTGAAACGGAGTTTGCAACTGACGCAAGCAGAGGCGGGCGTGGTTCTTCGCAGCTTTGAGCGCCTTGCGGATCGCAACGATGCGTGCACGGAGAGTGCGCTGCGTGCGCTCAGGATACTGCTCGCTGATCGACGGGTAGCAGCCGCGTTTTTGCAAGCCGATGGGAGTGCAGTTTTGTCAGAAGTTTCGTCCATGCATGCCAACAAGCTAGCAGTTCAACATGCGTGCATCGATGTGCTGGTCGTCTTGTCGGCTCCAAAGGTTTTGCAATATGCGAAGTAGTCAGGAGTGGGGAACACGCATTGCTCAGTTTTTTTTTTTTTTTGCTGAAGCGCTCATGAATGAGATTCAACTAGAAAACGCACGCTTGCGATCTTTGCCTTCAGATTTGCCTCGTGACCGATGCGCAAATAGAGATAATAATATCAAGCTTGGAGATACAACTTGGCTACATGGGAAGAAAAATTCTAAGACACCGATATTTCCGTAACGACCTATCACTACCTTGAATGACACTTTCGGTGGGTGTCCGGCGCAACGGACGTGCCCTGATCTTCCACGCTACTCACTCGGAGCATTCAGCTCAATTCCGAACATGGGCCCGAAAATGGCCACGAGGCACGCGAAGAGAAAGAAGGCTGAGCCGAACCAGATGATGGTCGAAGCCGTGATGTTGGACATAAACAGGGAGCTGCCCTCGTCCTCCTCCGGCACGCAATCCCGATTATTATCCAGACAACTCGAAGAAGTCCCGTGCCCCATCTCCGCCTCGTCGTCGTCCTCTCTTCCAACAAGTGTGACCACCTTCCTACTGTTGTACAGCATCAAAAACAGGACGGCGCCCGCCTGCAGGTTGACATTAAACGACACAAACCTGGTCAGCACTGCAATAAACCCTTCCGGGTTTGTCACGACCACCGCCAGCACGGTGCCGAACGAGAGCACGTACGCAAGCACATAAGGCACCGCATTCAGCCCCGCCCTCCGAAACACCGGAAACCTCTCCGGCACGACCGCAGCCGCGCCGTCCACAAAACTTTTCAGCCCAGCCGCAGTGACAAAAAAGCTCACCCCCGTCGACACGAAAATAAACAACTCCACGATCACCTCCACCGCCTTCAGCACGAGCCCCGTCACCGCGCGACCATTATGCAACGCGTCAATCAAAGGCACCGTCGAAATCTGCCCCTCCTCATACGCCACTGTGAGAGACGGCTCCCCCGGCCCCGCCTCGCGCGGGACGACCTGCAGCACCGCCAGCACCCAGGCGACGTTGAGCAAGTAGCACAAGAGCACCGCGACGAGGATGGCGACGCGGTAGCGCGCAACTTGCTTGGCCGTGGCGTTGCGCGGCAGCAAGTTGAACGTAACCGGGGTGGTGTTCGCCAGCCCGCCGAGCGCGACGCAGCTGAGGAGGAACGGGGCGCCGGCGGTGTGCCAGTCGGACGCGTCCTCCAGCAGGGCGGGGAGCGAGGCGACGCGGGCGGCGTCCGGCAGCGCGGCGATGATGAAGACGACGACGACGAAGAGGGCGCCCTTGAGGACGGTGAACGAGCCGAAGACGCCGAGCAAGTGGTCGACAAAGAAGACGACGGCGGCCGTGCCC